TCAGAGAAACTCACACTGGGTCACACAAAGAGAGAAAATGAAATTCTGAAGCTTAAGAAATAGAAAAAGCCCAGAATAGAAAAATGGAACAGAAATGTTTAGATAAAGATCATTACTGAAACCATGAAACTGGATAATTGCCCCAAATAGAAATTTAGAATTTTTTTTAAGATTAATTCATTTACGCATATGAGAGTTGGGGCACAGGCCAGAGATGTGGGGGGGGGGTGAGAGGACCCACCAGAGACAGAGTGGGGAACAGAACAGGCAGATCGACAGAAGTACCCTGCTGAGGGGAGCAGAGGGCGAGTCAGGAGAGGTCTGCTGTGCCATGTGGGTTGCTACCTGGCCGAGCAGGGGGATCGAACTCATACTGCAGAGGCTGCAGACAGCTTCATAGGTTGCCAACCCCTTGCACCACCATGGAGGCCCAAGAATTATGTTTTTGAGAGATAGAAGAGCCAGAAAAAAGAGACAAATCAACAATTCTAGTGTCTCAGCAGCCAACTGGAGATAGAATTCTCAGGTGTTGATGTTAATAAATGTAAAATATGGAGAAATTTTGAGGGCTTCGTTGAGAAGAAATCGGAGATTAAGAAATTAGAGGAAAGGTTTACATGTGTACATAATTATACAGTAAACATACACCATATATTAAGTTCTCCAGTTCTTAATCCTTTCTCCTCACCATGGAATCAGGATTTAATTATATGAATATTACATAAATATTAAGGGATCTGTCCCATCATGTGAGAGAACAGAGAGAAGTAACAGAATAAGACACATCACTTATATGTATTTAAAAAAACCAAAAAGCTGTGAATCCCAATGAAGAACTGGAATGTGACTTTATGATTGAAGATTTTACTTTGTCATACATTAGAATTGGTAGTAGGAATATAGATTTGCTTTAAAATGCTTGTTAGTTTAAAATTATTAAAATATTTGCTGAGATTTTTGTTTGTAGTGTATGTGTTGTAAAGTGTGTTTTTTTTTTCTTTTAAAAAGGTAGGATTAAGCAATGTGTAGAATGAGAAGAGCAGAGGACTCATCCTTAATTGTTTGAAAATGTTGGAGTTTGACAGTAGAATTCATGCTTTTTCCTATCACTGTCATAAAAATAATTCAAATTTAATTTCATCTCAAATAAATAGTGGAAATAAATTATGCATTTAAGAAAATTTTCAGAATTATTTTCCTAGAATGTTATAGTGACTTTGCAAACATAATCACAGAGTAAGTCATACAGATAGATGGTGAATCTCCATCAGTAAGATTAATAATACAATCAGAGCTAAAATGTAACTATATACCTGGTACACTTAGAAAAGGTTTGAATGTATTAACTAATTCTACATGATTCTACATAATCACTGCACAGATTATTATTACCATTTTACACATGGAGGACTAAGACAAGTGATGATATTTGCCCATGGTCCCACTACTAGGATTGGCACAAATAGTCTCTGAATCCAAAAAATCTGACAGCCTACACCCTTACAGGCTGAGCTAAGAAAAGTATAGAAACTAAAATGATTATCTCCTGCACACTGTTCCCCCAGATGCTTCCTCTAGTCAGTACATGATCTTGGTAATGTTGCTGCTCTCCTAGGCTGGCTATGACCAACCTTTCTGGATGCATCACTGCTATTATATAAATCTATACCTTAGTCATAGTAAAGGTGCTGTTTCCTTTTGATATGTCAAATCCAGATACCTAAAAAACTGTTTATAATTGAATTCAATGTAACTTATAAGGATGTACACAGAGGGATTCTTGAAAATATTAGTTGGAGCCCATTATAAAATTCTGCAACAGACGGTTCATTTACCATCAGCAAACAGAAGATCTGCTGTATCACCTCATGGTTTCAAGTTAAATAATATTCCCCTTAATATGAAGATTTCAACTTGTCAAAAAGAAATCTTCTCTCAAAGGAAGAGAAAGAAGAGAATTTTGAAAGTAATTCAATAGGAATCTAAATGATAGAGGACTATGCTAGTTGGGGGACAACCTGGTCACTCTGCCCTAGTTTCACAAACAGCTGTAGATGAGATGAAAGCACAGTGTTAGTACTCTGAGTGACTGGAAGAGAGGAATTTTTAATTGCCACTGCAGATTGTGTTTGTTGTCTTTTTAAATACCACCATTTTCCTCTTTTTTACTCATAATTTTTATTTAAAAAATATTTATGTATACAAGAACTGGGGTACAGGCCAGATGTGTGGAGGGTGAGAAGATTCAACAGAGACAGAGTGGGGACCAGAACAGGCAGAGTGACTGAAATACACTGCTGAGGGGAGCAGGAGGGGAAACAGGAGAGGTCTGTTGCACCATGTGAGTAGCTCCCTGGCCAGGGATCGAACTTGTGCTGCGGATGCTGTTGATACCTTCACAGTGCTGTGCTGAACCCCTTGCTCCACCAGGGAGACCCTACTCATATTTTTTTAAAAAAGAAAAATATTAGAAAGTTATCTCAAGAAACATTTCTATCTGTAATGTTTAAGTGTTTCTCTCAATATACTTTTTCTAATTGCCATAATGTATTTTGATTTCTCCTGTACTTTCTCTACCATTTTACATTTAGCCCACTTTAATTTGAGTTGTTTATTCTTTTTCTTTGTAAGTCATTCACTGTTGATGAAGTAGGTGAAGAGGAATTACATCTTTTGTTTAGGGCTTTTGTTTTCCTTAATAGTGGTGTTCCAAGGATTAAGTAGCCACTTCAAATTCTACCTCTATTTATTTTCTTGTATCTTTATTTTGCATCTATTATTGTTGCAGTGAAGATATTTTATCTGTATGTAAGAAAGTATGTATATAAGAAAACAGAAAGATTAATGCTATTACAAGAAAAATATTTAGCTAAAGTTTTAAAGTCATTTCTGGCAATAGAAAATGTAATTTCCTCAGCTTTAATGCACAAAGATTTACCTGTTTCTCAAGTCTATTAATAAGTATTTTTCTGCCACTAAACTAGCGACATGCAAAAGTTTTAAAATAATGCTACCCATCATAAAAATGTAGACAATTATCTTCCTTGAAAAGCAACAGATTTTACCATTTTTAGGTATGTAAACCCAAGTAAAGCTGGCAAAATAAATGAACTGTAAAAAAGAATAAATAAATTGTGGAATCTTAACTTTTTTATCTCTTTAGAAATATGGATATATTTTATTGGGGATCATTTTATTCACTTTAAAATGTCCCTCCAAAAAAATGTTAAGATCATCCTTCAATGTAGAATCGATAACAAAAGAGAACACTTTTCATTACTTTCACATTTCAAGTCTTACCAAACCTTACTCATTCACTTTCCTGACCATTCTAATTATGCTTCACGTCTGCAAAGGTGAGAGGGTATATAGTTGGGGATTCTCTAATGCTAGTCAACTGAGTGATATTATCTTCTTAGTTAACTGAGATCAATAACTGAATTTCTCTCTTTCTCTCTATCATGCTATTTTTATTTTACATTTTTACAACATCTAACCTTTTTTTGTTCCCCACTAAAAATGATAGAATTAGCTTTGTTTTATTTTACCTTTCCTAGAAAGCTAGTTCTATTCTCCATTTTCAATTGATTTCTTGACAGTCTGGGAACTTAGGGAAACTCATTCTTGATACATCAGTTTACTATGTTTTTTTTAAAAAGATTTATTTATTTATACAAGCACTGGGGTATAGGTCAGGGGTGCCAAAGGGTGAGAGAATTCACCAGAGACAGAGCAGTGAACAGAACAGGCAGAAGGACCAAAGTACACTGCTGAGGGGAGCAGCAGGCAAGACAGGAGAGGTCTGCCTCGCCATGTGGGAATCTCCCTGGCCAGCTGGGAATCAAACTGGTGCTGCAGAGGCTGTGGACAGCTTCACAGTGCTGTGTTCAACCCACTGCACCACCAGGAAGACCCATGTTGTTGTTAAAACATTTTAAAGAATTCACCTTTTCATTGTGTGTTGGTTGCCACAGAGCAAGGAAAGAAAACATTCAATGACACTCCATTGGATTTGCTCTTATGTTCATTTACCATTAGACTTCTAAATCATCTTACTAGACTAAAAGTTATGGTGATTTATTACGAAAAAATAGCAAAATGAAATAAAATAGGATTTAGTAAGTGTTTCTATACTAAAGACTTTATGTGTATTTAATTCAAATAAAACAACTAATATCCATAGATCTTATGTTGATGACATGCTCACTCAAGCTTATTAAAATAAGTCCAAGATCATGCTTTATGTTGATTTGGAAGTGACTGCTGTATGATAATTGAACACTGGGAAATTTGATTGTCTCTATTTTGTTATATTTTATGTTCTAATAGTCAGTTCAGTCTGCATGATTACATCTGAGTAAAACAAAAACAATTTTAAGAAACTAAAATGGGGGCCTCCCCAGTGGTGCAGCATTTGAGCACTGGGCTGTGAAGCTGCCCACAACCTCTGCAGCGCAGGTTCAATCCCCGGCCACCGGCGAGGGTCCCACATGGCGCGCAGACCTCTCCTGCCACGCCCACTGCTCCCCTCAGCAGTGTATTTGTCAGTCTGCATGTTCTGTTCCCCGCTCTGGCTCTGGTGAATTCTTTTACCCTCCCGCACTTCTGAATATACCCAGTGCTTGTATAAATAAATAAATAAACCTTAAAAAAAAAGAAACTAAAGTGGACATAAAAAGAATAACACAATTACTTTCAAGCATAAATTATATGTATATAATTATTCAGAAAATGAGCTCTGACCACTTTACCTGTGGTGAAACTGAGTTATCTTTTAGTCTAGACTTCAATGGAACCAGGGTGACTGGGATGCAAAGGCACGCATTACTGCCTAAAATAATGTTACTACTCCCCACATCTCACAGATTAAGTAGTGACAAATTTCGACCAGAATCCTGGCTTCTCAATTTTTGTCCAATGACAAGTCTATGAACATACACTATTCAAATAAAATAATTTCCTTTTATTATCTTTTTTATTTTGCCAATAGGAAGACCTACCTGCAGCTGTGCACTGGGGTTCACTGGACCAAACTGTGGTCAAACAGTCTGTGAAGAATATTGTCAAAATGGAGGGACCTGCAGTGTGACTCCTGGAAACCAGCCTTACTGTCACTGCCAGCCTGAACACACTGGGGACAGATGTCAGTACTGTAAGTGAAAGTAACAGCTGTAGTCTGACAGCATATTTTGATATTCATATTAAATAGTTTTCCATGTTCCCTCCATTATCTCAATTTCAGACACTCTGTCTTTTTGAGGTTCAGATTGTGTCACCCCAATGAACACACCAAAACAATTCTTTACACTGTTCCTCAGATTCTTAGATTCCTAAGATTCTTAGATTCCTAAGATTCTCTTATTTTAAAGATTCTGTTTCTTCCTTACTCAGCTTAGATTCCATTATTGATCATTGTACTCATTCCTTTGTATATACTCCAAATCCCTTGCCCCTTTTATCCTTTTATTATACTTTCCAGGAAAACCATAACCATGGCTAAATCCAATTATCCCTCTGTCCTCAATTGGCACCCAAGTGCCTTTACACAACTGAAGAAAAACACAACATCATTTGAATTTTAATCACTAATCTCAAATGGGTACTACTTTCTACTTTATATCACTAATCCACTGGTTGACCTACATGTCTCTGACAGATCTTCTCATTTCTTCTCACACCTCCAATATCTACAACTCAACTTATTCTTAAATGAGGAATTGACTCCTATTTCATTGACAAAAAATAGAAGCTGTCTAAAGAGAACTGTTAGAAGCTCCCACCACCATCTCCCCAAAGCTACCCCTATCCTATGTTCAAACATCCTATGTTCCCTCTTATTGCTAGGAAACCACCCTTCATGTAATACTGCATTCTCTACCCATTCATTGAATCTCTCTTAACTACCTATGCACATATTTCTTACATTGATTCCTCTTTCTCCTGCCTTACCAATATTTTACTCTCTGCCTAGTGCTTTTTTGAAAACCCTCTCCTTGTGTGCAAATCCCTTTCTAGCTACAACTTTATTTCCCAGCTTGTTTTTCAAAAACTAGCATTGATTTCAAGAGTTATCATACACCACAATTCTCTTTACTTCTCTTTTGACTCTACCTCTGAAAGGTTTTTTTTTTCCTTTCTTCTGAAACACCTGTATTAAGTCAATTCATTTATTTTAATGCCTTCCATGTTACCATAAGCATTGGAAAAGTCTCATTTATGACTTTACCTCTACCATCAATAACTAAGCACTCCCTTCCTAAAACACATTCGACATTTGTCTTAGTGTTTACCACTATTTTCATATCTGTTTACATTCTGTTTCATATTACTGAGACCCACTGCTGAGATAATTTCACCCATTCTTGGATTTTATTACCATCCAAATGCAATTGATTCTAAATGTATAACTAGTTAAATATATCTCCTGAATTTCCAATTTTTTTACCTAGTTTTCTATTGTATGACTTGATTTGGTTCTAAATTAACTTTTCTCACCCCAAAACTCTTCTACCATTGCTTTTCCTCTCTCTATAAATGAAAACACTCCTCATTCAGGTCTAAAAATTGTGGAATCATTTTGATCCCGCTCTTTCTTTTATGTTCCAACTTCATTTGTACTTTTGCCTTTAAAATATACCCACCCTTGTTATAGCACCAAATGAGTTCATGCTTATCAGGAACAATATATTGAATATATAGTATCCCATAAAATGCACAGCCTCATTACTATCCAAACTGTTTTTGCAGCCCCTCTTATATTCTAGAAAAATCACACTGATCAAAGTTATTTATATCACTGAATTTCCCAACTATTACATTACTCTCTTCCCCTGAAATGCACTTTCTTTGTATTCCTCCACACTTTCTATCTCTCCATGCGCAATTCCGTCTCTGTTCCTGTCCAGCTTTAACAGTCTCCTTTTTGAAATTGTTCACATTCAACTTCAGCTGGAACTAATCTCTTTCTCTACTGACACTTCAAGTCATTTCTTTTTCATTTCTTTCCTACTCTACTCACTCTTACCAGGTGTGACTGTTAATTACATGAATTCCTTCTACTTAATAGGGTAACCTCTTTCAGACTACTCCTAACAATCACATTTATTGAATATAAACAAATGAACAATCAGAGCCTCCCTGGTGGTGCAAGTGGTTAAGTCTCAGCACTATGAAACTATCTGCAGTCACTGCAGCATCAGTTCGATCCCCGGCCAGGGAGCTGACCCACATGGGGCAACAGACCTCTCCTGTCTCACCTGCTGCTCCCCTCAGCAGTGCATTTCAGTAGATCTGCCTGTTCTGCTCCCCACTGCTCTGATGAATCCTCTCACCCCCAGCATCTCCGGCCTGCACCCCTGTTTTTGTATGCATAAATAAATAAATCTTTTAAAAAATGAACAATCATAGATAAATAAATAAAAATAGTTTGGAGGCAAGTTAATAAAAGAACAATCAATTTAATGGAAAAAGCAATGTTTAATTAGGGTACAACCATCTGGTATTTGTGTATAACTATTCATCAGTTCCCAATGGTTTCATTGTCATAGAATATCAGACATTTTTTTTCATTTCATTTTTAGTATTTTTTAACATCAGGAACCACTATTATTTATACTTTTTTTGGAATTATATTTTAAATATACTATATAGCCATCATTAGAACAATTTGGATTCTTAAAAAGAATAAATTCAGTTAGCCTTTATTTTAATTGGCACCTTAATAGAATCACAGTCTGAGGTAGCCCAATGCATTATAAAAGGCTGCATTATAATTTTATTATCACTATTAGCAGTCATAGCACTTCCCACATTTTACTGCAAAGCACTTATTAAAATTAACCAATTAATCCTTAGACAGAGGTTAAATAACTTGCTCAAGGTCCCGAAGTAGTAATATTATAGTCAGAATTGGAACCCAGGAGTTGTTGATCAAGATGTCAACAAATGTTTCTGCAGTATGGTGATGCTGTTCTTTGGCAGCAAAATAAGTCTGTGGACAGTGTCATTAAAATGATAAATCCAACAACTGACAAAAGCATAATAAATTTAGTATCTATTAGATGTGAGTCGGCAAGGTTCAGTGGACCCGATGTTCTGTCAAAATTGTATCTTGCATATACAAAGTCTTCTCTCTATAAATGAAGGAATGACAGAATGGTTCATTACAGTGCCTAATTAAACGTCCATTAGTGGGAGGTAAAACATCAGTTCTTAGTTGTGCTGAGTAAAAACATTTCACAACTCTAATGGCAATATAAAATCCTCAGATTTGAAATGCAAATTAAATTTAACAGCAGTGGCCAAGGGAGAAGAGATAGGGATAAGTATAGCAAAAGCAAAATTAAGTGTCCTTTGAATAAGGTGTTTAAGAACAACTACAACTCCGTTTCATGTTATTTCAGAACAAAGATTTTATGATATTCTGGAGTAAATTAAAAAAAAAGACATTTTAAATTTAAACCTGAATATTAAATATGAGGTCAACAGTAACTGAGGTCATTTGTAATTAAGGGGTAATAACATTAGTGTAAAAAGGCTAATTGTGACCAATTCAATCTGGTCTAAGAGCCAAGTATTAAAATAAAATAGCAATCTGTCTGTCCTCTCATTGATGCTTTCTGAGTCCTCTAGTCTTTTGCTTGGGAACCATTATTATTTTTGTCCTCCATGTCTTATTTCCTTTGTCTCAATTTACTAGCTCCTCTTTCCCCATCGATGGGATGACCACAAAGTACTTTTTTTTGGTACTTTTCACTCAACATTAATATCATTAAATTTCTTGACTCCCCGTCCCAACAGTACATGAAACAGGTCATGGTATTTTACAAACTCATCAATCTTGGAAGTTAACTCAGTGCCTGAACTCGATAGATAGTATTAGACATATGAATGAATGTAAACAAGGTAGTGATATCTTGTTTCCAGACTGTAGGGTCCACTTCTTCTCTTTTTGTATTATTTTATATTGAGGTAATGTTGGTCTCCATCACTGTTTGTAAAACTGTTAACTAGTTTTACAACTGCCTCTCATATTATTTTTTAATATTCTTTCTCAAAGTAAAAAAAAGGCTAAATACCTGTCTATGGTACTAATGCAATAAAAAATATAATAGGTGAAATCATTCAAAATGTGGCATGATTAATGGGAGAAACACAAGAGTATTGGGAGATCAGTTGTTTTAAAATCAATTAGAAGAATAGGTTCACACCTCTTCAGATTTATATTACCACACCACACCCACCACCAAAGTACTCATAGTCTTCCACCTGAAGTTCATTGAGCCCCTTCTTGCCTTTTATCCAGACTCCCAACTTTTCCTATAGTAACCTTAATTCTATAGTTAGATTGCTAGAATTTGTCTTTATTTAGTTTTGTCTGTTCCCTTGTTTTGTTTCTCTATATTCCACATGAGTGAGATTATCCAGTATTTGTCTTTCTCCTTCTGACATACTTCACTTAGCATCCATCCGTGATGTTTTAACATCCATCCATGATGTTATAAGTGGCAATGTTTCATCTTTTTTAAATAACTGAATAATATTTCATTGTGTGTATGTACCACATCTTCTTAATCTACTCACCTGTCATTGGGCTCTTGGGTTATTTTGATAACTTGATGATTATAAGTATTGCTGTTTAAAAAGCAGATATATGCACACACACACACACACACATCCCTTTGTATCATTAGTGTTTTTATAGTCTTTAGGTGGATACCTAGAAGTGGAATTCCTGGATAATATGGCAGATCTATTTTTAATATTTTAAGAAACCTCCATACTGTTTTCCATAGGGACTAAAGCAGTTCCTATTCTCACCAACATTTTGGAGGATTCTTTGTTCACCACACCCTCACCAGCACTTGTTTCTTTTTTGATATGGACTATTCTCACAGGTGTGAGCTAGTATCTGATTTTGATTTTGATATGCATTTCCCTAGTTATAAGTGATGACAAGCATTTTTTTCATGTGCCTATTGGCCCTCTGGAGGTTTTCTTTGGAGATGTGTCTTTAGCTCTTTTGTTCATTTTTGATTAAGTTGTTTTCATTGAGTTATATGAGTTCTTTGTAGATCTTGGATACTACCCCTTCTCAAATGTATAAAGTACAAACATTTTAAACATTTTCTCCTATCTGGTAAGGTGCCTTTTCATTTTAATGATAGTTTTTTTTTTTTTTTCTGTGCAGAAGCTTTTCAGTTTGATGTAATCTCATTTGTTTTTGTTTGCTTTTTTTCCCTCTTGCCTTTGTCAAGGCCCAAAAGATATTGCTAAAGTCAATGTCTTAGA